GGCCAGTGGGCAAAATTAAAGAAAACATGTTTGGATCAATGTCTGCAGTGTGCCTCACTGGAAAGTAAAAGTGGTTTTCTATAACTAGAATTGTGCATTGCAGGCAAGGCAAGAATTGGCAGAGATGTTGCAGGTAAGCTGCTTAACATAACTCAGAAGGTTTAATTGTATAATTGTTAAGTTCACAACAAAATTTAAGACTTTAATATTCACTGATTTAATCTTTGAGTCCTCAATTTATTATGAAATTGAAGGCATGTGGTGCTGTAAGAGAGCAGATGTCCCTAATTGTGTTTACGTGTTCTGAAAATAAAAGAACAATCTGTGTTTGTTAGACACACACCACACACACACATACACACACACACACGCATGCACAAATGTTGTAGATATTGGGAATATCTTTTGCATTATTTGAATTAAAACAATAGAGAAAGTTTTACTTCCTTTAGTACTATTTATATTCATACCGGAAAAAAAAATCATAGAGCAAATCAAAGCACCATCATAAACTCCTAGTTCTAAAGCAAACAATCCAGCAAAAATCCCACAATAATACAAATGTAAAATGGTATTAAAATAATATACTATAAAAAGAAAAAATACCCAATTCAGAGAAAGAAATATGTGCAGATAATGAAGAACAAAGGAAATGGTGTGAGGGTTGTGACTTCCTACAAGATTATCTATGTAAGTAACCCTGTTAAACACACATCAGCAAGAAAAATGCAATTTAACACCAGAGTGTAAAAAGAAAGGGATGAAGATGAAAGGAAAACTAGCTTAGGTCTGATTTAATCTATGAAATTAAAAATAGATTATAATATAAAGGAGAGTAATTGAAACTACATTACATAATGAAAGTCACTGTTTAGAAATATTTGCTGAATTTAATGTATAAAGACTGAAAGAAGTATACACATCATGAAAAGGGTCACTCACAGAGCTGTAGAGATGGCTCAGCACATGTGCCAAGCCTGATGACTTCAGTTTAATCTCTGGAACCCATAAGATGAAAGAAAGAACCAACTCCCTGCACATTGTCTTCTGACCTCCACACATGCACCACTGAGTACATACGTGCACATCTACACACACACAAACACACACAAATAAATAATTATAAAAGAAAAAATTTTTAAAGAATCACTAATGAATGATTGTATTAAAATGCCAAATATTATTCATCATATCCTTAATTGCAATAAATATTAGATGCAAATTACTCACTAAAATAATGAATTATAAAAGTGAACAACATATCACTTTCCCACCACAGCTCTGGAACATGGATAAATAGGAGACAATTGAATAAATTAATTTTATTATTGCTGTTAATATATTGAACATAGTATACGTTGGAGCTGTGTAGATCATGTACTGTTCATCCATGACTTCCCGGCACTCAGATCAGCAGCTCTCAACCATATGTAACTCCAGCTTCAGTGGGCTCTGACACTTCCGACCTCTGCAGACATCTGCACTCACATGGATATACCCACACACAGACACACACAGACAAACACCCATACACATTATTAAAAATAAAATAAAATGCTTTTAATATGGAAATGGTATAGAATAATAAATTTTACAACACTAAACTTCACATGGAATCAGAAATTATATAAATTTTAAGCAACAAGAGGCATGATATTAGGGATTGATATAAGGTAGCAAATTCTTAGAAATTGGAAGGATGCTTTTAAAAATAATTTCACTTTTAGCTATTTGGCTTAAAGGACAATATCTGAAGTGGAATTGAAGAGCAAAATATTCAAAGATTCTAGTTTGTTCATTATAGCATTATTATAACAAATGAATATCTAGAACATCTGTTTCCATTCAGCTAAGTTAACTTAGAACATTAAAATCTCATTTCCATGAAATGCATATTATAGATTATCTACAGGAAAGATATAAGAACACACATTTTTATTTATGATGCTTATTTCAGTTTGGTTGAAGTACATTCGTGAGTGTGTGGATGTGTGTGCGTTTATTACCATAGGAAATGTTGAAATTGGTTACATCTGGTTGAAATAAGACAATAAGAATCATATATAATCTATTTACTTATTTTTAACAAACTTTCTAAATTGTCATCTTTGCTAATATAAATTCACGCATATTGATAAATATGGAAAAGTGAATGTATATCTCAAATAATCTTATCAGAAATAGTTTGGTCTATAGCCTAGGTAAATATATAACTTTATTTGATAGATTTTTATTAGTCCAAAGAGCCATTATACTTTTATGTACTATAGTGTTATGTTTAGTAAAGGTCAGTATATAAACTGAAAGTGTTTTATATATCCCTCAATGAGGAAGGCTATAAATTATTACAGTTAAAAGTATTTTAATTAATCAATGCACTCAATTAATGACACTGTGCTACACAGCATCTATAATGTTTAGATATTCTTGAGTACAGAATTATGTGTAAGACATCTATTTTTGTTATGTTAAGAATTACTTTTTCATTTCACTATCCTCCTTAAAGCATATACCCTGCATGTTGTTTCTCAGCTAGCAAAATGTGGAATACTTTAAGTCTGAAATTATTTGACATCAAATGCTACAGTAAACAATTTTAGAAAAAAAGTAGCATTTATATTATACATTCAAATAGTGACATCTAGGAAATGCTGTAACAGAAATAATATAAAACAGAGGAAATGCAGACAAAAAGTGAAAATAATAAAAGGAAAAATGAGTGGGCACATATGCTGCAGCTTGACTATAGAAGCTGAAGTTTGATCAAGTTATTAAATAGCACTTGCAGTAACTTCTTTATAGTTTTAAATTATGTTCATACAATCCCTCAAATTCAAATAAGAGTGATACATCAAAACTCACATGTGACTTACATGCCAAATATATTTACATTTTAAGATTTAAAAAATATACTCATTTTAATTTTAGGTGTATGAGTGTTTTATGTGCATGTATGTAAGTGCACCATGTGTACAATATCTACAGAATCCAGAAAAGGGTGCCAGATCCCCTGGAACTGGAGTTATAGATGGCGGTTAGTCACCACATGGGTACCAGGAATTAAACCCTGGTCCTCTGGAAGAAAAACAAGTGTTCTTAACCACTGAATGTTCTCTCCAGTTCCAAGATTTATTTTTAATGCAGTTACAGTATTCTGGTAAAATACAAGATATAGACAATTTGGAAAATTTCAAATATTTCAGAAATGTATTTTCATCACTGGCATATTTGAGGAGTGCAAAAATGTAGCATCCCTTGTCTCTGTTGTAAGTAATGTGTATGAAAACCAATCACATGACAAAGTAAGTCACTCTTTTGGATTCTTCTAACAGCTGATTTCTAGAACACAGCTGATTTTGGCTCGCAATCATAGCCAGTGTATGTTTAATTACAGGAAGTTGAAGCACACTGTTTCTTTATGGCACATTATGGTTAACTTTATTTTTGATTTATGTAAAGTTATGAGACTTACTAGATTCATTAACCAATAAATTGAATAGTATAAAAGAAGAAAATATTCACATATAGAGATATCAGCCATGTTTGAACATAAAGAGTATTAGCTATTCATTTATGTAAATCTGCACCTGAGGAAGATGGACCAATAACATAAGGCAGCTCTATAATGCTATTATGTTCAAATGTAATTTATGAAAATTTCTTGTATCAATCAAGTTAGGAAAGATGGATCCTTTACATAATTAAACTCATGATGAACTATGAGTAACGGAACAAGAAAAAAAAACTGGGAAAACACTAGTTTTATAAATGTCGATCCATACTTTGTTATGACACATTATCTTAAAGAAAATAACAAATACATTTCAGAAGACAAGGCTAGAGGAGTGCTTTTGAATTTCCTCCAAACACTAAATACCCAGCAAAAATGTGAGGTCAACTTTTACAGAATTATCTATGTTAATAAAGATATGTAACATTTTTAACCTTATTTTTAGAGAACTATTTTATTTACTTATTTATTTATTATTAATTTTTTTACACCCACTTCCCAGATAGCACCCTCCCATAGCCTGCCTATCCCCATTAGCCCTTATACTCTGATATCCCTGCTACTGTCTGCTGTGTTGTATGTAACTTTTGGGGGCTACTATTAACCAAATTAAAAAAAATAATAAGACTATTCATGGGGAAACAATTACAGTTAAAATTTTTATATTTGCTAACCAAGGTACTAATATGACATACATTTGAATGTAGTTACCTATCATCTTTCAATGATCTACTATCTGTCATCGATCGGTCGATCTATCATCTATCTATCTATCTATCTATCTATCTATCTATCTATCTATCTGTCATCTATCTATCATCTATCTACCTATCCATCTATCTTCTATCTTCTATCTATCCATCCATCTTCCTGTATGTCTCTGCCCAGTCCTCTACTCTACATACACATATGCACTCACAATTTTGTCATATGTCTGCACGTGCCTTTCTATTCTTGCCTGCAGGGAAATGCAGCACTGCGATGTGATACCAGAATAAAAATGGCAAACACTGTTTTCAGAGTTCAACTCTTTTATATGTTTTTAGACTTACAAAAATATTCTTCAGAATATGGCAAAAGTACTATATCACATCTGTATCCTGTTCAGGAACTGTGAAACACACCATGCCCTGAGATCACTAGACGTTTCTAAGACTTTAGAGCACACGTTATCTTTCTACTAAAATATTGAGAATGTTTAAAAGTAGATAAAACTATGTCAGACTCTAACATGAAACAATGTGCTTTCAGGAAGCTTGTTATGTAGCAAGAGGGGGAAAAAGGGAGCATGACAAGATGTTCTAAAATTACAAGTGAGATGCAATTTGATAAATAGCTTTCCATCATCGACATCCACGCCAGGCAGTGGGAAGGCCCACCATCAGCACTTTCATCAAAGGCACTATTGACTCCTCGCTTTCTATCTCATTTTATCATGGCTTAATCATTTCCTTTACTCAGTCAATGATTGGGAAAAATTATTCCTTACCCCTTGTGTGAGAGGCAGTGGAATCTTCTAGTGAAAGGTCCTTTTCTCCATCTTTGCTACGGCCGCCACCAGCACCTTCTTCACTGCTACAGTCTCTCTCAATCAGCTTGTCCACAGCAGCTATGATGCAGTTCAGGCTCTTTCCCACGTTGGCCCACACCCTATCCTGAAAAGAGTGTGAGTATCGTCACAGGTTTTAATACAAACTTAAGATAAAGCAAAATCACATTACCCCTGAAGAGAAACAGCCGGACGAAGAATCATGAAAACACTGATTGAGACGCTAACAATAATATTCTCTTCAATGAGCACAGATTCCAGAATTCCTGATTTCCCCCTGCTAAAGTCAAAGTTAAGCTTCACCAATCCTCTATTTAATCTAACATTTTTTGTTCTGTCATAAGGAAATGTTGGAATTCTATATAATATTAAGTCATAATTGAGCACAAATCATGACATTTTGCTAGAGGTATTGGTATTGTTTATCACCACAATCTGTCAGTTCAAGGCCAGCCTGGTCTACATAGTGAGTTCCAGGACAGCTGGGGCTACAGGGAGACCCTGTCTCAAAAAGACCGCAAAAAAAAAAAAAAAAAAAAAAAAAAAAAAACCCTGAAGATACAGCCGGGCATGGCAGCCAGCACCTTTAAACCCAGAACTTGGGAGGCAGAGGTAAGTGGATCTCTTTGAGATCAAGGCCAGACTGGTCTACATCAAGTTCTATATCAGCTGGGGTTACAGGGTGACCCTGTCTCAAAAAGATAAAACAAAAAGGGGGGAGGGGGACTGAAGAGGTTACTCTGAGAATAAAAGCACTGGCTGCTCTTGCAGAGGACTGAATCCCAGAACCTATATGGTGGCAACTGTCTGTAAGTCCAGTTCCAGGGGCTCCAATGCCCTCTTCTGACTTCTGCAAGCATTGCACAACATGGTGTATTTACATACATGCAGGCAATACACTTACATACATAAAATAATAAATAAAATATTTTTAAAAGACAAAAAATATAAAATATAAATATAAAATATAAAACAAAATTTGTTCTGCCTCTGCCTCCTGAGTGCTGGGATTAAGGGCATGCACTGCCACACCTGGCACACATTACCTTTAAAGAATGTCTATATTAGAAATTCTTTATTATGGGGGCTGGAGAGATGGCTCAGTGGTTAAGAGCACTGACTACTCTTGCAGAGGACCTGGGTTCAATTCCCAGCACCCACATGGTGGTTATGAACTGTCCTTAACTCCAGTTCCAGGGGAATCTGATGCCCTCTTCTGACCTCCGCAGCATTGCATGACATGGGTGCACTCACATACATGCAGACAATACACTCATACACATAAAATAAAAATAATAAATTAAAAAAGCTATTAAAAAAGAAATTCTTCTTTATTATGGAAACATATATGTAAAATTTACCACATTATTTAGCCATGTTAAATATGTATCATGAAGGACACTCATATTTTTTAATTTATTTTTATTTTATGTGTATAAATGTTCTGCTTGCATGTATGTCTGTGTGCCTGTGTGGTGGCCAGGAGAGGTGTGCGATCCCCTGGAACTGGAGTTATGAATGGTTTTTAGTCACCATGTGGGTGCTGGGAATTGAGCCCAGGCCGTTTGCAAGAGCAGTCATTGTTCTTAACCACTGAGTCATCTCTCCAGCCCCTTTAATTTTTTTTTTTTGTTTTGACATTCACATCCTTATGCAACCACCACCAACATCCAATTCTAGAACGTTTTCATCTGTCTAAACTAAAATTCCATACCCCTCACAGATGAGCCTCCCATCCCTCCCCATTCCAGGTCCTAATGCTATTTTCTATTCTGGCTCTATGGCTTTAACTACTCTAATGCTTTTTATACTTCAGATCACATCTAGCTAAATGACCTGGAGAACTAACGTGCAGTTCCCTTGGTTCTGCTAACTCTTCTAGAAGCACTGGGGAGCAGACACTCAGGACTGCAATTCTGATGACCAACACAGATGCTTCTGACCCCTCAATTCTTAGAACTTCTGTTTAATATTATGTACTACAGCCACATAAACCATCATTTTGGGTGATTCATTTCCTGGGAGCTCATGACACTAAGGGGCCTCTTTGCTACTCACCATTCTGACAAGCTTCAATTTTCATTTAGGACAATGCATTATGCCAAACTATTTGAGTCACTAAAATTGCATTAATTTTAAAATTAAATATTTAAAGAGAGTAACTTTTATAGGGGAACTGCCTCCCACCTTGTTCCATTTCTCACATAACTAGGCAATAATTTAGACACTGATGAAAGCGATGACCTCCATCTCTCACTCCAGATATGAACCAAGTGGACTGGTGGTACTTTCCGTACCTCGAACAGCTTTCAGCAACTATCTTCTAGGAGATAGAGCTATTTTGGAATAGTGTTTAAAGTAAAGCTAATACTCCATTATAGCACATTCTTTTGATGTTTTTACATATTTTCCACAAATGTGTATTTTTCATCTAAGTTCATTTTACAAATAAATGACCTGATTTGGAAGAAGGTAAAACTAGGAAGAAATATTATAGTTGAAATTAGAGCTTATTTGATTATTGTAAGAATTAAGCTGAACAGTACATCCACATTTAAACCAACATGGTCATGCATAGGGATACACCACATAGCAGAAGAAGTAATAGGGCTCCCTAGAATAGCAGTATATTCAAAGTTAGAAAAGGTAATTTTGAGGATTTATACAATATACAAATGTGAGACCCTGGGCCAAGTACCTCATCTCTGAAAAAAGGCCGCCACTGTGCTATCTGCAATTTGAAATGATAATTCTTGCCTCATCTTCCTCCCATGGTACAGCAGGAGCCAGCTACTCTACTGTGCTTTTCTTGAAATTGCTTAGGGGAAAGAAATTATTACAATTTAGCATGATCATATCCAGCTCTTACTGACTTTTCTAAGTCAAGTTTCTTCAGCCTGTAATCTTGAGTGTAAAGTATGCTATTAATCACAAATAATCATAATGATCTTTCCCCTAAAGGCAGATCTTCCCTTCAAGAACCAAAAGCATTTCCCTGCTGAGGAAAATTAAGATACCAATCACATCTGTGGATTACATCATCCTCTGCTTGTTGTCTAGGAAAATGAGGTACAGGTGTCTCTGAGCTGTGAGGGCATTCACATTTGCAAGAGGAAATACTAGGGAAGAAAAGTAAGCAACTGGAGGCCAGGCCTCACTATCTTGGGATTTGTAGTGGAGTGTATCTTCCAACAACAAACATAATGGTGTCTGTTTATGCGCTGCCACCAACTGAATCCTTTAATGCTGAAACAGAATAGTGAGTCAATTGTCTAGCTGATCCTGGCTATAAATATATTACTGAGGAGTAAAAAGGGAACTGATTCTTCTCACATTTTCAGGTTAGCTTTGTTTGTGATACAAATTTTCAAGTCTTTTCCTGTTGTCCATGTTGAAAGGAACTTTATATTTTTATCAGAGATGGCAGGTAAGATTTCATGATGCTTTTCTAATATAAAGAAAATCAGAGAGGACACCAATGCTCTTAACTGCATCACTGTAGGGCCTGAACATAAAGGTATTTAAAAGATAATTTGCTATCCACATATGTATATGGTTCTTCCTTTGCAGAGCCCACAGATTATCGGATTACACTTGTGAAAACTAACTTCTGCTGCCAGTAAAAACACTTATATTGCTCTGAGGAGTCTAATGAAGCATGTTCATTGACCAAGATCATTAGCGATGTAGTGAATGCTATATGATAAATGGTAGATAATATAGTCATTCACGTTCAGAGGATATTTCTTGGGACTGAGAAATGAAAAATCTCTTATGTAATACAAATATGTACTTTGTGCATAATAAAGTTTTTCTTAGAGGCACACTCAGCAGCAGAACATGAGAAGACACATTCTCTTCTTCATCTGTGAAGAGGAAAACCCATCTCACTGGAGATGGGTTGATTCTTCCACTGAGTTCCCAGAGTATTGGAGTGCACAGTGCTACCCAACAGACAGAGCAGAGTCAGAAGAAGGGGCCAGTGCAGGGTCTAGGGTGACTGCCATTTCACAGGCTAAGGTTGGGTTTCAATAGCTCAGACTTGAAAATGAGAACAAGAGAGCCTGTATTAAAACAGAAGGCAATCAAAGCGCAGGCTGATCACCTGTACTCTGAGGGTTGTTACCAAAACTCTCATCGAAGCTGTAATGCATGTGACCAAATGTCAATCAGGCTAGCTTAGAGAACATAAGTGGCCTAAATTAGTAGAGGACTAGGACAGGATCAAGGCCCCAAGTCCGTTTTATAGCTGGCAAGATATAGCAGGGCAGGGAGGATAGGGAGGAAAGATGACAACTCAATTCTGAAGAGACAGTAAATAATTTTGGAATCGATAGGTGGGCAAGACTCTCAAAAAAGGACCTTGGAGATATGAGTTCTCTTCTAAAGAAGCCACTTTTACTTATATCTCTGAAAACATGCACAGAATATCACAGTCAACAAACATGCCTTCTCAATCCAATGATTTCTGCTGTGTCAGTCTACGAGGGGAAATCATTCTGCTTAGATTGCTGATGTGGCTAGGGCCTATCCCTCTCTTGTCTATTGTAATCACACTGTTAGTTTTAGTCTGTTCTTAGGATGAGAAAAGGCTGGTTAATGTGAAGATGCAGGGAGCACAGAGATGTGACACTAATCCAAAGTGCTTCCAGCTCTCTACACTCTCTTCAAGCTAAGAGTTCTAAACAAAACTGCAATCCTGTAGAGCCCTTCTGTGTCCTGAGCTGTTTAAGTCAGCCATCCCCTATCAGAGAGACAGATTGGCAGGCCATTCCCAAGAAATAGCAGCAATTATCCTGCTGAAAGCAATGGAAGGTTGGTGGGTTACAGTCTAACCCTTCTTAAATGAGGTTTTAAATTTAATTGGTGTCTTTACCCTTAATGGAGCCTTCACAATGACCCTTCCCAGAGGAGGTGAAGTGGCTGTGAACCTTTTCTAGTCATTGAGGACACAAAGCAAGGGGTAAGCTAGAGCAACATTTATTCCACTCTAAGTCCAGGGCAGATCTTGGCCCTTACTTATTTCTGGGTTAGGATCTAAGCTAACATAAAGGTCAAACTCAGTGGCATACTTGGAAAAAAACTGATAAAGGTAGCATTAGGTGG